AGATCAAAGGGAATTGGCACCGTTTGGCACGCGTAATGGAAACCCAACCTGATTTGATTAACACAGTTGCAAACTAATAAGTTCACATCCCTCTCAGCCAACCACAAACAGCCACAGCATCAGATAGGGAGTATATATTCAGCATCTGTCATCTTAGAAAAGTCCAAAGAGAAGAAACAGAGTGAGACTGTGAGAGAGAAAGAGAGAGCGCGCGCACGCATGAGAGAAACGCTGTCAACAAATTGTAAGTTATTCAGTTTTATTTTAACCCGGGAAGTTAGAGAGTTAGAGAGCCCAGCTCCCTCTCCAGCATCCTGAACCTCCCCGCCCGAAGGTCCAGGAAGGGCTGGCCCCCGGCTGTGCGGCCGCTGTGCATCCTCCTCCTGACAAGATGATCTTCAGTTTTACGTTCTAAAAGTTTTTTTTTTTTACATATACATTTGTACTTGTAGGGCTATACGTTTATGTTTTTAGTTCACAGAAGCTGGTTATTGTTGTGTTTATGTCAAAATAAAGTTTATCAAACGTTCTCACATCTTTGATTTTGTGATTTACGTGCCAAAATGATCACAACTCATTTGGGAAAGACAAGTTCATTTTACAGGCTATGCATCATCAGCCCGTGGAGGTCTGCTTGCAGTTCCGTATATTCGGACACTGCGAGCTTGGGCCTCCCGTATTATGATGATCATTACTATTACTGCAATTAGATCATTCTGATTAATGACTGACCATTAAGACGTGTTTCTGATAAATATTTTAATGTGCACAATAATAACCTTTCACATTGTAATATGCACACGCGCTATGCACCCACCTAGAGACGCATATTACCAACTTGTTTAACAGCGAAATACTGCGCCATTGACTTTAGACCAGGTTTTTGTTGGTCACTGGCGCATTTGCTTTTTATGTCATCTAACTGGCAACGCGCCATGACTGCGCCTGACCACTCCTCATTTTTAGACCAACACACCCAGAGGAGCGCAAGTTCATTTGCTAGTTAGATGACGGGGGCGCAGGGCGTGAAAATGACAACTGCGCCTGCATCTAAATAGCAATGACACTTGCGACATGGATTATGCGCCCTCCGCCGTCCGCTTTAGACCATCTAAATAGTGCCCTAAATGTAGCTCCGCCCATCTGGTGGCGCTTTTTATGTTACTACTATTTAGGCTAAGATGTGAACAGCCACAGTGACTGAAATAATAATATTAATAATAATAAAAACAGGACAAGAATAATCTGATGACATCATGCACGTTGTGAATGACGACCAGCAATGATTGGTGTGGACCATTGTGTAGTCTGTCATGTCTGTCGGCCAAGTCTCGGCACGATTTATGTCTCCATAATCACCTATTCTGACATAGTGACTGTTGGAACAGATAAAAATTGTTGTGTAGTCTGAACCTGGTATAAGATCTTGCAGTGAACCTTTAAATCCTGTGTTTGTGTCCAGGTGGGGGTGACACCGCTACCTGCTGTGCCAAGTGGAACACAGAGGACAAGGTCAGCCATGTGAGCACAGGAGGCGGTGCCAGCCTGGAGCTGCTGGAGGGTGAGTGACCGAAAAAACAGTATGATGTTTATTCACATATAAAAACACCAGCACGAGCCTCAGATCATTTCAGTGTGTTACTGAAGCTTGATGATGCTGAATTGTGTGTTTGCTCTCTTCTCCAGGTAAAGTCCTGCCAGGTGTGGACGCACTGAGCAGCATCTAAACTTCCCATCAACCTGCTGGTGTTTGGGTGAATGTGTGTGGAAGTGCGAGAGATGTGTAGCTACTCAGCCCGACTCCTGTTTTCTCTCAAACGTCATTAAACACACCTGCTTTTCCAGCCATTTCATCTTCTATTTAGTCTGTTTTCTAAGTTTGCCTCCGATGTATCGATGTAGAGCCTTCTGCCTTACTCCAACACGCTGATGAAACTCTGCGGGTAGAGAAGTTCAACCTTCAAGACATAAAAAGATCAAATGGCTCGTAAAGATTGGAGTTGTTTCCTGTTGACCTGCTGAATAAACGGCTCAAACACAGCAGACACGGTGTTACTGTCACCTGGATCTGGGTTTAATCTGGCCGTTCACCCCTGAGAGACTCAAGCACTGGCTCGTATGTGTGTGTGAATGTGTGTATTGCTGCGTTATTGAAACATCACTGCCCCACCCTCAGTGTGTATACATACAGTATATATATATATATATAAAGAAACGGTTTATGTGATGTGTGCGTAGGCGTTACGTTTTCGTCGGCTCTGGTCATCTGTCTTTAATGCTGGTTGTTGGTTTCTAAGCGGCTTCAGATGGAGACGTGGCGTCTAATCTGTTCAGATTAATAAAACCGTCTCTGTGTAAAAACTTGTCTGTGGCTGTTTTGTCATTTTAAGTACAGGAAGGGATCAGAGGGTAACTCACAGGACAACAGTGTCATCACAGAGGTTATTATGAAGACACTCATCCATCAACTCACAGAAAGCTCTTATTAATTAGTGACAGGCAGTGGTGTAATCTCACTACGGGTAAGTACATTTACTCAAGTACTTCACCTCAGTATTTTTTGTCTCTGTGCAGGTGATAGCTGTGGTTGGAGGCATCATGTCGTTGGATTGTCATTCGTTCATCCCATTCTTAGGAAAGCAGTATCTGAAGAATGCCATGAGGGAGTTTCTTCAGATTCGGCACAAATGTTCACTCACTCAACGAACTGATTATAATTTGGTGCTCAAAGGTCACGGTCACTGTTATCTGTCTGTCCCATTCTTATGAACACAATATCTCAAGAACCACTTAAGGGAATTTCCTCAAATTTGGTACAAACGTCCACTTGGACTCAACGATGAAGTGATCAGAATTTGGTGCTCAAAAGTCACTTCGAAATTGCATCTGTCTCATTCTCATGAAAGCGATATCTCAAGAACACCTTCAAGGAATTTCTTCAGATTTTGCACAAATGTTTAATTGGACTCAAAGATGACCTGATCAGAATTTGATGGTCAAAGGTCACTGTGCAATGTTCTGATGGGAGATTTTGGGTCCTGGCATTCATGTGAATGCTACTTGACGTGCTCCACCCACCCGAACACCATTGCAGACCAAGTAAACCCCCTTATGGTGATGGCACTTACCAATGGCAGTGCCTCGGACCATTCCTGAGCAGTTTTTGTGGTGTGGCATGATGCAGTGTCCTGTTGGGGGGCCAATGCTACTGGGGAGTGGCGCTGCCATGAGGGGGCTTACCTGGTCTGCACTGGTGTTTAGGTGGGTGGAGCGTGTCCGGTGGTGTAGGGGAAATACCTTTTTGAGAATGTTTGCACTCGTAATAAAGTTTGGGGCACCACCCTCCTAATGAGGGAAGCGACTAATTAAATTAATAACTCTGTAAACCAATTATTAATTCGTCAGCGCACTTATCAATAATGAATCAATCTCAATATCTGGGTTATGAATTCTCCATACAGTGATCTTAATTCCTGCTCAAAAGAAACATCCACAGACTTGGCACAAAATATTTATCTAAGGAATCCTAGATTAAGATAATTAAATCTCCCGGACTTTCCAGCAGAATGAAATCCGCTGGCGCACTGTGGAAGGAGGAGCAGTTGAGCCCGTGAAGTCTTGTGGATACCCCCACGTCCGTTCCCGTTACGCTGCAGAAAGCCTTTGGGTTTAGCACGAGAACCACTGTGGCAAGTGGCTGGCAGTTGCTGGGTTTGATGAATCTTTGGCTGAAGAGGCAGGTCGAAAAAGGCACTTGTCTACTTTGTTATAATTACTCGCTTATAATGGTGAAAACTATATCGCTGGCCGTTCGATATTGTTATTAAAGTTATTATAAACGCGCATTAAAATGTTGAAAAACTGGAGATAAAAACTTGAGGGATCCCAAGTGACTTTTACCTCCTTTTGGCTTAAGGATGGCTGAAAGAAGTTTTTGTCCAGTCGGGGTGATACAGGGGTGAGTCCTAAACATTTGACCCCCGGTGGTCTGGTTCAAGGGAAGTCCAGAGAGGCTGTTCCTCTACAGTGGCATCCATATGAATGTCAGAACCAAAGGTTTCCCAACAGAACATTGCGTTGTAACAAGATGATCACTGTTGTTCATGTCACCTGTCGGTGGTTCTAATGTTTTGGCTGATCAGTGTATATATAAATGTAGGCTATTGTAGTCGTAACTATCTAAACAGACCTCTGGAGCTTACAAGGTACGTACAAGGTGCCGCCTGCCACTCAGTTTTTAACACATACTGGCGGGACTGCCATCGGCAGCAATTTGGGGTTCAATATCTTGCTCATGGATGCTTTGACATGCAGATTGGAGGAGCTGGGGATCAAACCGCGGATCTCAGATAAGTGGACGACCCACTCCACCGCCCCAGTAAAGCTTTTGAATCAGGTTACATTTGTTAATAAGTTGTGAATAGTTCAACCACAGTTATTTTCCCTTCTCACACCATTTTTGGAGTTTTTAGGAGTCCTGAAGAGGCAACACTGCAAAAGGCCAGAAAATACATTTTTGTAAAGACAAAAGAATTTTATCTATCTTTAATATCTTGTTTATCATCTCAAAATTTCTTTATCTTGGGGGCTGGGAGCCACAGACCTGGAAGTAAAACTAACTTTTCAGTCAAATCTAGCTTGGTTTTAACTGTCTGCATGTCTTTTAACACCAAAACTGATGATAATATTAAAAACAGAAACAAGACATGTCTCTACTTACTGAAGAGAAGTTATCTGATTTCTTTGACTGATGAAGTTGATAAAATCCATGTTTGTCCATTTTTACCATCTCTCTGCAGATGAACCATCGTAAAGAAGTTTTTTTTAAGCCAAAAGTATATTTGTGAATATTATTGTGATTACACGTGTGACAAATAGAATGTAGGAAATTAAGTGTTTAATGCTCAAAATGGTTTGACAGAAGATCCAAAAAAACCCATTTCATATGTATGTGCCCCCCATGTTAAAATAAAACCTACATCTTTCCTTAATACTCAAAGTTCATAACAAGTTCTTAAGAGTTTATTTATTTTTACCCCAAAAGCAAATATTCAAAAATGCCATGAAGAAACAAGTGTCTCTTCTATGTATTGACTGTATGTGGATTTTTCACCACTAGATGGCAGCGTCAGTTCTTTCACACACAATCAGGGTCCATGATCCTTTTTTTCACACAGCCGTCCACATCAGAAGCACATCACACAGAGCAGGAATTAAAAAAGCAACAACAACGTAACAGAAAGTTCAGGGTGCAGGCCGATGATTTGTGGCGCTGTCCATGGCGTCAACTTCAGGTGCAGTCATTCGTTTTCATTCACATAATCTGGCTCACCTGTCACAGGAAGAAAGTGGATGAAAGTCAGAGGTGTTAGTGAAAGCTTTATTTAATAACTTGGCATGATAGCAGCTGCCTAAACCAAACTAGAATGTATTAAATTTAATATACAAAAGTCAAATATTCTGTCAGTGCCGCCTGCCACTGACAGTGAAGTTAGTTACAAAATGTTTTTGTATGTGATTGTGAGCTGCTGGCAGATGTTAAAACACCTAAACTTGTGGTTTTCTGGGCAGGTGGATGCCATCCAACATCTCATTCATGTTCTCATAGACAATGGTTGAAAGACTTAAGCTCCGTTTTCACCAAACCCTTTCAGTACAGTGCCTTTGGAACCAACAGTAACCCTTCAGACATGGTACCTAGACCCTCAGTCTGTTTAGTGTTTCCACCACAGACAGTCCTCTTAAATGTGGGCGGGGTTGTTGTCACTCACTGCTCCGTCCAGCACTCGCTGAATTTCCTCATCAGCGGTGACACAGATGGAAGTGTGCACCTGGTTTATCGTCCACAGCTCAGGTGATGAGGAAATACAGTGAGTGCTGGACGGAGCAGTGAGTGACAACCCTGCCCAAGCAGAATTATTTAAAAAAATATCTGTCCATTGGAATGGAAGGGGATCTGAGTGTCACCGGAAAATGGAATAATATTTAAATAGGAAAATACTGTTCAGATTTGTTTTTCTAATCAAACATTCACTTTATAATGTATTTTATTGACTATGTTTATAGAATATTTATAACAGGAGATTTTCAACAAACTGTTTTCTGGAGATGCTTCTAAAAATTCAGCGTATTTTTAGTCGTGATGACAAATACAATAGAAACTACAAAGGTAATGTGTTTTAAAACATCACTTTATTTATTGATAGGACATATGAGTTAACAATTTGAAAAACATAAATTATATGTTGTTTTTTTTTTGTTTAAAAAAAAAAGGAAAAATGTCTGTTAAGACCATTTATTGTCATTTTTACATGTAGGTGCATTCAGACAGAAAAACCCCCACATAATTAAGTGTCCTCATCCAAATGTAAAAAAAAAAAATTTTTAAATTGCTTTTGTTTTATGAGTGCATTTTGTGTGTGTGTGTGTGTGTGTGTGTGTGTTTGGAACATAACTGGGTTCTGAATGTGTAATCAGTTGAAAAAATAGCTGAATAACTTCCTGTCCTGATCTATTTATGGATTATTGGACTCAATCTTGCAGCTCTGTTTAGATAAATTCTGCCTGGTGGTTTACATCTGCTTGTGTAGGACACAAAAATTCTTCTATTCGAGCAGAATATTTTGTTTTTCCCCAAATACAGAAAAACACAAAACCAAAGAATACAGCTTTTGTTAATGTACTTAATGAATAAATATAATTCACGACACTCACTGTCTTCTTGCTGCTGCACAACTTGGTCCAGGAAGGCAGAGTTCTCGTAGTCGTCGTCATCTGTTTGAGTCAAAATTTAGCATCTGGTCATTTTATATTTAATTTCTTAAATTACAGTATTGGTGTTACGATGCAGTCAGTAAACATACCATCTTTTAACAGCAATGATTGGATGATATTTGCATAGACACCTGGATTCTGATCAGCTTCTGTAAGAACAGTTGGCGACAAACATATTTTCAGTTTGTCTTTTTTTTTTTTTTTTTTTATGTGACACAGCAGTTTGGAGGATTTAGTGCAGATTGTACCTGTTACTCCTTTTTGAGTCTGTGCATTTTCATTTTCATACACTGAGAGCGGGAGTGGATCTCTGTTGTAAAACAACACACAAATATGTTTTATAATGTTTTAGGTTTTATATTTATATTTTCTAATGAGAAAATGTTTAAAAACAGCTGAAATACGTACACATATGTATGTTCTGGACTTCCTGTTTGAGCTGCAGCAACAGATTGATGATGAATATATATGAAGGTTACAAACACTCCAAAACAATTCATATATCTTGTGTATTACATGTGTAAACTTACCTTCTGAGATATTCTGATAGTCATCGTCTGCAGCTGTTACACATAGAGGAGTAAATTTAAACCTCTCGCATGTGCAAAATAAGAGTGTTTAAATGTTTGACATTAAATTCAGCACAAAAACACAATGATCTTACCCGTTGAAAAGTTGTCAGGTTCCTCTCGAGATTCACTGAAAAACAAATTAAACAGTAGTTTAATGTAAAGTCAAATCTTTGGGTTATTTTTGGATCATGTGTCATGTTTTAAATCCCCCACAGAGAAGCAGCACCTCAGTTGATGATAAAGCACTTGGCGAATGGATACACTCTTGTTTGTAAAGAAATAGTTCTGCAGCTAAAACAACAAAATGTTGATTTCTGTTTGTTTACGAATTAAACAAAATAAATAAGTTGTGTCATTAGTGAGATTCTGAGTAGACGTTTTTATGTGTCTGCACCGGCAATAGCGGAGGCTGGAGGCCTTGGGGTTGTCTGTTCGTCTCATTGTTGTGAAAGGAATATGTCAAAAACACTTTTAGGGAATTTGGCACAAACGTCCACTTGGACTCAACAAACTGATTCGATTTTGGCCATCAAAGGTCAAGGTCACTGTGACGTTGTTTGTTTCATTCACGTGAACACAATATCTCAAGAATGTCTTTAGGGAATTTTTCTTAATTTTGACACAAACATCCTCTTGGATTGAACAATTAACTGGTTAGATTTTTGTGGTCAAAGGTCAATTTAACCTTGCATCCATCTCAATCTCGTGCATGCGATGGGGATTTCTTCAAATTTGGCACAAATGTCCACTTAGACTCAGGGATGAACTGATTAGAATTTTGTTGTCAAAGGTCACTGTGACTTTGTTTCCATCTTATTCTTGTCAATGTGATATTTCAAGAATACCTTGAGGGAATTTCTTCAAATTTTTCTTCACAAACGTCCACTTGGACTCAACAACAAAGTCATTAGATTTTGGTGGACAAAGGTTAAGGTCAATGTGCGCTATCTCAAGAAGGCCTCAAAGGGAGTTTCCTCAAATTTGAGATTTTTGTGATCAAAAGTCAGGGTTGCTGCATTCTCTGAACCCATCGGCTGTATTCGGCGTCTGACTTCCGGCAGACGGCGATATAGCCTCTGGGGGCAGACACCCGATTTTTTGGCATTCCGGTTTGATTTGGGCGGAGGAGGTGAATTTCCGTTTCCGACTTCCGTTTATATATAACTAAATATGCTGAACCACTGCGATGGATTCAGAGTTTGCAGTGACGCCAATTATGTTCCGCCTCGTTAGTTCAACGCACGGACCGTTTATCCTGGCAACAACTGCAGCTGGCTCAAACTTGATTGGTCAATATCAAGCGGACTACAAACAGCCTACAACCGGAAACCAAGGCTCTTCCACTCTTCTTCTGGAGACAAGACCTCTGGGGTTTGCCTACAGACTCTACATGTAGATGTCTGTATATAGAGACTAGGGTCGCTGTGACATTGCTTCTGTCTTATTCTTGTGAATGCAATATCTTGAGAACACTTAGAGGAAATTTCTTCAAATTTAGTACAAATGCTAACTTGGATTTAACAACAAATTGATTTGATTTTGGTGGTCAAAGGTCAAGATCAATGGGACCTTGTGTCCATCTCACTCTTGGTGAACGCAATATTTCAAGAATACATTGAGGTGTCAAATTTAACACAAACGTTCACTTGGATTCAACAAGCTGGTCAAATTTTAGTGGTCAAAGGTCACTGTCACCTCGTTTGTCTCATTCTCGTGAACACTATCTCAAGATGTCATTAGGGAATTTCCTCAAATTTGGCAGAAACGTCCTCTTGGACTCGGGGAAGAACTGATTACAATTTGGTTGTCAAAGGTCAAGGTTAGTGTGACCCCATATCCATCTCATTCTTGTGAACATGATATCTCAAGAACACCCTGAGGGAATTTCTTCAGGTTTTGCTCAAACATCCACTTGGACTCAACAACAAAGTCATTAGATTTTGGTGGACAAAGGTCAAGGTCAATGTGACCTTGTGTCCGTCTCATTCTTGTGAATCCGATATCTCAAGAAGGCCTCAAAGGGAGTTTCCTCAAATTTGGCAAGAACATCCATTTGGACTCAGCGATTAGATTTTGTCACTATGACCTTGTTTGTCTGCAAAAACACTTTTCTGGCCATTACTCAACGTCATATCTCAGGAACAGAAGGGGAGACATTTGGTCAGATACTGAATTGGTGACTCAAACCTTGAAAATGTGCTGAGTGTATATATCTTCTGTGTGTGTGTAGCATCCATGTTTTCAGACATGGGCGTTAACTGTAAGTGCAATTTGACAGATTAGCGATCAACTGCATGGTAATAATTCTAGTTTTACCATTGGACAGAGCCTCGCTAGCTGTTTCCCCCTGCTCCCAGTCTTTATGCTATTCCCCAACTGAAAAAGAAACAGTAGTTTGCTAAAACACATCAGATCTAGTTCACACTGCAGTTAGAGAATGAATGAACATTATTATAAGGTGTACCACAGATTGAACCAGATCAGTGTGTATCAGTGTGTTGCTGTGATAAAATGAGATTGTGTCAGATTATACGTACACCGTAGTTGGGGTGATCTGATTGGCTCTGGTGACTGAAAAATAAAACAGCAAAAAAAAGTGTCAAAGGTAATACAAAAAAAAATACAGAGGTGGAAGAAGTATTCAGACGTAAAGTATTTTACTGAAGTAAAAGTTAGAACACACATTGTGAAAATAATCCACTACAAGTAACAGTCCTGCATTCAAAACCTTAACTAAGTATAACAAGCAAAAGTACAGTCTTTACCTCAGAGATGTAGTGGAGAAGAAATATAAAGTTGCATAAAATGAAAAAACTCAAAGTACAAGTACTTGAATTTGTACTTAAATACAGTACTTGTGTAAATACATTCCAACACTAGTGAAATGTGTCAATTAAAAGTGAATAATGAATAGAAACAAACTGCTCACTTGTCGTTACAACAGTTGCAGCATCTGATTAACTTTACCTGTTTTTGAACGAGTCACAGCAAACATGCTTCCCCCACGCTGGCTGTCAAGATAATATTTTCATCGAGTCAACATTTTGATAAAGTAATTAAAACATCTGCCTCGAATCCAGTTCCAAAAAAAGTTAGGATGCTGTGTAAAACATAAATAAAAGCTGAAAAGCGGATGAAGATGGATGTTTTTATTAATGAGTTACACAGTCTCCCATTTTTTGGGAATTGGTGTTATATTAAATCTTTAATTAAACAAGACTTACAGCAAAAAACTGAACATATGTGAGACTGATATAATGAGGCTAATGCTAAAATGAAGATAGGTCTTACTAGGGCTGCCCCCTGATAGTCAACCAAATGTGAGTCAACCAGACAGACAGACAGACAGTTTGGGGTCATCATGTCACAGTGTGTCTTTATTTTCTCCTGGGAATACAAATAGAAAACCAATAGAAACAATGCTGTGATCTAATGTGGAACAAATACTCAACACTCACAAGGTCTGTGGGTCGTATATTTGGTTCTCCTCATGTATGACCTCTGCAGGAAACAAAAAGCAGAGAGATGGTCGTTTACGATGCTGTTTTTAATATTTGACACTTTGTGCTTGTGAAAACAGACATTTGTGCAAAACTCTAAAGACTCCTCTGCTCGCTCTGTTCTCCTGTCTTTAGCATCTGGACCTGAACGCAGCACAGTCAGTGCCAGCCATATAGCACACTTCCACTCATCCACTCGCTGCACTACTGATAACACACACACAGGACCCACTAAAAAAAATAAAAAGTTTAGTGTGAAAAAAGCCTCCGCAAAATGTGCCTGCAAAAAGTCAACCAGCCAAAAACAAGCCCACATTTGACTCAGAGCGAGTTCTTCTTCTTCTCTGGGACAGAAACACACTTACTGGATTTCTTTTTACATCTCAGGCAGAGGACGGACATCAGACTCAGTGACAACACCGACGCAGCTGTCAGGACTGCAGCCAGAACGCTGGAGTTTCCTATCATACCTGAAACACACACAGAGACACAAAGCTTTGACTTCAGAGCAGAGCAGCACGCTGCGTTTATGGGTCCACGGGTCGTCACTGTTTTTCAGTTAGCAGCCCACAGGATGTGGTCGGCCTAAACAAAACTGAAACCTGGTTTCCCGTTTATATACAAAACTCACACCCAGAACACTGAAGATGCATCACAGACCTCCAGACGCATCACAGACCACCAGACACATCACAGACCACCAGACGCATCACAGACCACCACACACATCACAGACCACCAGACACATCACAGACCTCCACACTCATCACAGACCACCAGGCACATCACAGACCACCAGAGACAAATATTGTAGAGTTCATACTGACAGTACTTTATACTGATGAGAGGTTTGAATGTTGGAACTTTATTTGTACTGAAGTTTATTCACAGTTAATGCAGTAAAAGATCTGAATCCAGGGGTGGGACCAAGTCATTGTTTAACAAGTCAGTCTTCACAGGGAAGTCTCAAGTCTTTCCACAAGTCCCAAATCAAGTCCTAATTCAGTCCCAAGCCAAGACTAACAAGTCCAAAGTCAACTCTGAAGTAAGGACTGACAAGTCCCAAGTCAAATCCCTAGTCAAATCCCAAGTCAAGACTAGTAAGTCACAAATCAAGACCCAAGTCAAGACTAACAAGATACAAGTCAGGTTGCACGCCAAGACTAACAAGTCCCCAAATTAAGACTAACAACTCCCAAGTCAGGCCTAGTAAGTCCTAAATCAAGTCCCAAGTCAAGACTAATAAATCCCAAATCAAGATTAACAAGTGACAATTCAAGACTAACAAGTCCCCAAGTCAAGACTAACAAGTCCCAAGGTAAGTCCAAAGTCAAGACTAACAAGTCCCAAATCAAGACTAACAAGTCCAAAGTCAAATCCGAAGTAAGGACTAACAAGTCCCATGTCAAATCCCAAGTCAAGACTAGTAAATCCCAAGTCAAGTCCCAAGTCAAGACTAACAATCCCAAGTCAAGTCCCACACCAAAACTAACAAGTCAGCAAGTGAAGACTAATAAGTCCCCAGTCAAGACCAGTAAGTCCTAAGTCAAGTCCAAAGTCCTAAACTTAAAGTTTCGAGTCCTATACAAGTGCTGATGCGCTCCTCACCAAAGATTATGCCACTTTAATAACAGCGTTAATATATTAAATTTAATTCAAAAAATTCTTTTTAAAAATGTTGTAAAGTTACTTAGCTGTTAAACTAACGTTAGCTAAGCATTAGCTTGCTAACTACTTTAATTTTATCCTCAGTTTTGATTCTATGTGACACTTCAAATGTCGAGTGAAGTTGATTTGTGTCACAATCAAACATCAAATACACTTTGTAATCTTTGGGTTTGTTGGAAGGTGTCAAGTATTTTCAAGTCAGAAGACTTAAGTCTGAGTGAAGTCACAAGTCACTGGTGTTAAAGTCCAAGTCAAATTGCAAGTCTTTTTAAAATTATGACAGGGCGAGCTAAAGTCATCAAATTCACGACTTGACTCTGTCTTAGTCCGAGTCATGTGACACGAGTCCACACCTCATCTAAATACTTCTTCCACCAGCACAAAGATCCAAAGATAGTGAAATATTTAAGACGTGAAACTCAGGGATTTAAATGAACTTCACAAACAGTCACAACTTTAATACAGTCATAAATATCTGTAGATATCTACAGCGCTGGGTCGGTTATAGAGTCGTCTTTTAAATAAAGAGTGATAAACGTTCGCACCTTCTCAGGCCCGAGAGCTGTGTTTCTAAAGTGATACGGCTGTTAATCATAGAACATTGTCATGTCTCACCCACAACAGCTCCTCTCAGGCAAGCTGCTCGGTCAGCAGGTCTTTGAAGATGCTTCATGTCCCCAAAATAAACAGCAAATTAGTCCTATGTTATAGAGAAGACAGAAATGTGTTGTCTGTCTCTGATCCTCCATCTGATGTGTTTGATATAATTATGACAAAGATTAATAGATAAAAAATGTTTAGTAAAATAAATTATCACACCAGCTTTGAAGCAAACAATTAATGTACTCGTACTCGTCGTCCTCCGCTTATCCGAGTCCAGGTCGCGGGGGCAGCAGCCTCAGCAAAGAAGCCCAGACAGTCCTCTCACTGGCCACTTCCGTCAGCTCTTCCGAGGGAACCCCGAGGCATTCCCAGGCCAGCCCGGCGATGTAATCCCTCCAGTGTGTCCTGGGGCGGCCCCGAGGTCTCCTCCCGGTTGGACATGCCCAAAACACCTCCCAAGGGAGACGTCCAGAAGGCATCATTACCAGATGCCCGAACCACCTCAACTGGCTCCTCTCGATGTGGAGGAGCAGCGGCTCTACTCCGAGTCCCTCCCGGATGTCTGAGCTCCTCATCCTATCTCTAAGGCTGAGCCCAGACACCCTGCGGAGGAAACTCATTTCGGCCACTTGCACTCACGATCTCATTCTTTCGGTCACTACCCAGAGCGCGTGACCATAGTAGGTGAGGGTTGAAATGTAGATCGACCGGTAAATCGAGAGCTTCGCTTACTGGCTAAGCTCCCTTTTCACCACAACGGACCAGTTAAGCACCTGCATCACTGCTGATGCCGCCCCAATCCGCCTGTCAATCTCCTGCTCCATCCTACCCTCACTCGTGAACAAGATCCCGAGATATTTAAACTCCGGCTGAGGACCATGGCCTCAGATTTGGAGGTGCTTATTCTCATCCCAGCCGCTTCAAACTCGGCTGGGAACCGTCCCAGCAAGAGCTGGAGGTCACTGTTTGATGGAGCTAGGAGGACCATGTCACCCGCAAAAAGCAGGGACGAGATCCTCCCGTCACCGAACCTGACACCCTCCACCACTCGGCTGCGCCTAGAAATTCTGTCCATGAAAGTTATGAACAGAACCAGTGACAAAGGGCAGCCCTGGCGGAGTCCAACTCTCACCAGGAACAGGTCCAACTTACTGCCAGCCATGCGAACCAGACTTGCGCTCCTTCGGACTGGATTGCCCTTAGCAAGGGGCCACCAACCCCATACTGCAGCTGCAGGTCAACAGTCAAAGTACTGCACATTTTATTAACTTTATGAACTTTATTTATCAGAGAAAAAGGTGAGCACACATTAGCAGGTGCTGGGCTTGCGGCCTGTCTGCAATGTGCCAAAAAGCATCAGAGAAACACTGATTTTTAATGCGAAACTGCTTTATTCAGTGTTTTTACTGGTTTTAATCACCTGGTCTGTTTGTTTTGGAGAGGAAGAGACCTTTGTGGATAATTTGGCTACAGGTAAAAACCTCCTGGAGATCTGGGTCTTAAGTTAGCAGAGATACAAGGTGAGCACATATTAGCATGTGCTGGGCTAGCGGCCTGTCTGCAATGTGCCAAACATCATTGGAGAAACACTGATTACTTAATGTGATGCTTTATTCTGCATTTTTCTGTTTGTTTTAGAGAGGAAGAGACCTCTGTGGATAATTCAGCTCCAGGTAAAAAACCTCCTGGGTGTCTGTAACTTTAATTATCAGAGAAAAAAGGTGAGCACACAATAGCAAGTAGCTACTAAGCTAATGGTCCATCTCCAACATGCCAAACAGTGTTGGAGAAACACTGATTATAATGTGAAATTGCTTTATTTAGTGTTTTTACCAATTTAAGTCTCTTGATCTGTTTGTTTTAGAGAGGAAGAGATGGATAAGGATAAATGGATAAATCCTCCTGGAGAGAAAAAAGGTGACCACAGATTAGCAGGTACTAGGCTCGAGGCCTGTCTCCAACATGCCAAACACAGCAGTGAAATGGCTTTATTCAGTGTTTTTACTGGTTTTAGTCACCTGATCTGTTTGTTTTTGAAAGGAAGAGACCTCTGCCAGTAATTCGGCAGAGGTCCCTCTGTAAGGGTTCACACCTACACAGAGCTTAAAGCCTGTGACCCCGCACCAGTCCTGGGAACTGAAGAAGCCTCTTGGGTGAGAGTGAAAACATCTTCAAGAAACTCAAGCAAGTCCAATTGTCCATGATATAGTGCTAAAAATTTGGAGTTGAAGAAGTTGGAATTGCGCGAAAAGTGGGAATTGGGTACATTTAGTCTGAATGTATTTAAAATGTTGAATGATATCAGTAAAAAAGATATGGAATATTATGATTATTATTATTGTTATCATAATTGCTGATCCCTCCACATCAGTAGATTGCTTAATATCCTAGTATGTATGTAATACACTCTCTATGGTTTATAACATCATAAAACTCCACTTCAGAAAATCTGAACTATCTTTATCTTTCTTTAAAACTGTTGTTGTGGAAGATCTGTGTGGTTTTAGTTGCTGGCCTACGTATGGGGTCGTGGTCTTACTGGAAAGTACTGTAAATGTTTCCACAGGCGGAGCTCCCTCTGTGTCAAATTTTCCTTTGTGAATTCTTTGTTGTATTCGCTCTCTGCCGTCATGAGGCGTTCAGGTGCTGCTGCAGAGAGACGTGGCTTCATGTAGGGGAGGCTTCGCTTCTGCTGACTTTTTACATGACACCTTTGTGATATGTACACCCTAAAAATACTGGGTCAAGTTACTAACCCAGTTTCAGGGTGTTGGCTTTAGGTTGTTTTCTGATGCAGAACAAATAATGACTCAAACATTAGTTCATAGCTGACCTTGTTCACTTCAAACACAGGAGGATGGTTTGTTTTTAAACTAGATTTAAAATAACACAATTTTTGGGTGTAATTAGCGACCCAGTGGTTTTTATAATTATGGTTACCATGTAAACTTTACCCAGTTTGGGTCAGTGCATTTACGTCAAAGCCAAAAGGGAGCCAGTGGAGAGGGGCTAAAGAGGAGCCGCAGGTCGCTGACCTCTGGTTTTAACAAAAACTGAACACTTCATAAAGGTAAGATTTATTGCAAGACTTTTGTGTCAAACTGCATTAATTTTAGCCATAAACTGTTTAGTAAAATTTTAGTTGCAGCTGAGCAGCAGTGTTTATAAAACATGAGTCATATTTATGTTTTTAATACAACTGTGATATGTTTTATTTTTATTTACTGAAAATTCCCCAACCTGCCTACACATTGACTCAGTATACACTTAAGCATCATTACATTACATCTCTCTCTCTCTCTTTTTTTGAGTTTTTATTCTTTAAATCTTATTTTTGATTTTATTCTAAATGTTACTCTTTATTGCATAATACCTTCAAGAGTGTGCCTCCCTATGTCGCTGCGCCTGTTGAACGACCATGTCACAAAGAAACCTTTGAATGTTGAATCATAATGTGCCTATAACTCTTAATTTATCCCCTTAAATATTAAGCGCTCTTTAAGGCCTCTTGTACCTAAACCATTTTATGTGTTGTAATTTAAACATTAGCCTAATTATACTTTAACTTTAGAACACATCGTTGTTTATTGAATGAGGACGTTGGATGGCAGTTGTTGGCAGTGAGAGGAGAACAACACTATATACTATTCCTTTACTAAGCACTTCTTGGCAAACTACCTGAGTACCTTAAAAATTAAATTAAAGGTCTCATCCCAGTTAAACAACCAGTCCCTTTTACTAGCCCAATGTGGCAGCAAATTTTAACAAATAAAGACCTGTCTCAATAAGAGGCCTGTTCTGGTTGCCAAGCAGTTCATTTTTATAGAAGTTCTTTGGATGTGTAAAACCAGACTGTTGGCTCCCCACTAGAGCTAACGCTAGTTAGCTGTATAGATCGCATATACAAATATGAATGTTTAAACTTTTGTCAGTACAGACATGCTACACATCGTTAGCTCGGTTAGATTCCCAATAATTCAGTCATTCAGGTCACTTTATTAAAACCATGAGCACCAAAGAATAGTTGATTCAGATTTACTGACCTGGGAAACAAAAGAGGGACGGAAAAAAAAAAAAAAAAAAAAAGGTGACTGCCAACGTTACCTCTGAAGCGGACGTAAATCAGAATATGTGTCCATACGTCAATGACCTAGTAAGTTATTCATATTCCTTTAGTCTGTAAGAGTCCTCTGATCAAAAGAGTCAAAAGGGTTTTTCATAAATATTAATCCAAGTTCTGAGTATATTGTTTAAACAGGATAAAGTGATGTTGTGTCATTATGCCTAGGGCCATAACTCTCTCTCTGATGCTCTGTCTGTTGGAGCTAGATCAAATGAATAAATCATAATTAATGTTATTTGAAGCCAGATTTTTATACAAGTGACAGTCACACTAGTTTCAATAAACAATGTGATCGTATTTTCCCATCTTTGTTGAGCAACAGTCTTGTGTAAAAGTAATTAAAGGCCTGTCCCAAATAAGTGTTTGCTCTTGATGGGAATTAGTTTGAATTGTTGGGTCTCTGTAAATTAAAATAGTTATTTAGTTTTTAACATTTCCCGCTCACACCAGACAACATTCATCAGGAGTCTCATTTATAAAACAATGGCCAAAAATGGTGTGCGCTAAAAAATATTTAACAATTTCTACATCAGACTTCCATCTGTGTCACTCATTTCCTGTCTCCAAAATGTTCAGAAGCATGGGTCGAAGTTTCTACCATCAAGTCTGTTTTTATAGATCACAACTTTTGCTTTGGAAGTGCCATGCGCCTCTTTCAGGCCTCATTTTGTAAGCAATGTTTATAAATGAGACCCCAGCTCTTAAACTGTCCTGAGATAAAAAAAAAAAAATAATAATGATTTGGTGCAGTATATAAAAATGAACTTGACCTGAAATGTATTCATGAAGCAGCAGAATGGCCTCTTTCATAGTGTGATATCCCTGGACTGTTTACTAATAAATCAATTAAGAAGCATATTAATGCTTTTCTAATGTTTGAGCCAGCTGAGTGCGTGGAAAAAGTGATCTATAATAACAATTAATCTATAACAAGTCAATATCTTTTAATGAGCGGAGTGGAG